AAGGTGAACTTGGCTCCTTGTTGCCAAATTTCATGAGCACCCAGGAAAAGGGATGGCCATTTGCTGTCATCTTAGGGACCCTGGTGTGGGGAAGTGCTCTGAGGGCGTTACTTGAGTGGTTTTGATTTCGTTGCTCCAGGGTAGAGAGTTTTTCTAGAAACCTCACCTGGGGTGACCTGAGCCCTCGCTCTGGCGTGGGTCGGTACACACTGGTGAGTGCAGCTGCCTGCTCAGTTCCACCCACAGCCCCCTCTTCCAAGCAGACTAGTGGGTGCTGCAGAGTGACCTGACACGGCCTGCCATGGACCTGGCTCTTGTGCACAGCAGGGGCACCGTAGCCTGGTCGGGGCCACCCCCAGCCCCAGTTCCTGTGCATGCCTGCATGCCCCTGCTGTACCCCAGCTGGTGCTTGTGCACGCCCAGGGTGCCTGGCCCACCCCCAGCCCTGGCTCTCACACTCACCAGTGGAAGCTGTAGCCGAGCAGAAGACTGACCACAGTTTCCCTACCAGGCTCATTCCCACACTTCCAGGGGGTACCACGGTCTAGTCGGACCTGACTTACACCCGGGCCTAGAGGGCTCAGCCCACATATCTACTTACAGAATCTGCCCAGACCTGGTTCTCTTGTCACTGGTTGGTGTCATGGCCCAGCCCCACATGGCTCCACTCCCTGTCCCAACACTCACTGGTGGGCGCAGAGGCCCAGCCCCACATGGTCCACTCCCACTCACTGGTGGGCACAGAGGCCCAGCCCCACATGGTCCACGCCCTGTCCCAATACTCACCGGTGGGTACAGAGGCCCCCAGCCCCACATGGTCCACTTGCTGGTGGGCACAGAGGCCCAGCCCCACATGGTCCACTCCCACTCACTGGTGGGCACAGAGGCCCCCAGAGGCCCTGGCCTTCACTTTTGTGTGTGTTAATGGGGGGCAGGTGGTCCTATTTAGCCCAGTCCAGATCTCCCTCATGGTTGGGTATCCGGGTCTGACCCAGATGTACCCTCTGGTTCCCTCCTCCAAGCCACCCCGTCTCAGCCCTGTAGTACACCTGTGAGTGCAGTGGCCTGATCCGTGGAACCCCCAGAAGCCCTTCCACACCTGTAAAGTACACCCTTTGCAGTTCCCACTGCACACATGCCCAAGCCCCCTTCCCTCGGGTAATCCACAGCCCCCATGCCAGGCTTGAGCCTCAGGCCTGAACTTCCAAATGAAAAGTGTTTAAATGATGAAGAAAGAAAGATGAAAAAAGCAAGCCCTGGTTCTGAGGGCCAGCCTTGTGCTCTGCAGCCCCCATCCTCCCGACGGCCACTGTCCCTCCTCTCCCAGCTCACCTCAGAGCAGGCTTCGAAATGTGATCTTTATATTTTTGCCAATTTAGCACTTTCTGATGAAAGGTTGTCACCAGCCTGTTGGCCAGATGCGTCTCCCTGGAAGCCCCACGCCTGGTCCACTGCAGTCCCCGGGCGCCCTGCTCCTCTGGGAAAGCCGGTGACCTGGGCTGGACCTGCTTCCTCGGGGAAGATCAAAGCATCTGTGTGGTTCACCAGCGACATTAAGAATCACAGAAATGAGTTACAGAATACGTCGATGTGTGACGAGGCACTGAGGGCTCTGAGGAAGGACTCTAGCCTGAGGGTAACCGGCCCACGCAATCCGCACCCCGGCACTAATCCTGGAGCATGCAGGAGGCACGCCCCACTGTACGTGTGCGTGAGGGGCCAGTGGCGTGGACCGCAGGAGGGCCCCTGCAGTCACAGCTCCTGCCCCAGCCTGGCCTCAGCCTTGGCCAGTGCAGGCTCCGGGAGTGAACCAGGGCGTGGAAGATCGTCTGTCTCTGAAATTGAGCAAGTTGACACCTCAGGATCCCTTCCCGTGACCGTGAGTGGAGTCCCAGGCAGCGGTGGCAGCTCGGAAGGGCCCTTACCTAAGGCTGTTCTGACGGGCCTCGCCCTGGAAGCCTCCTAGGAACCCCAAGAGGCAGGACGTGTGGCAGGCGAGGATGGGCAGCCCGCTGTGGTCGCCCTCCTCCTGGTGCCCCTCCAGCCCACGCGCCGTGTACATCTGGTGTCTTACCTCTTGTTTGGGTTGCTTTGTATGGTGTTGGCATCCTTCCTAGCAGTGACCCTCAAGGCCCCTGCCCCAGGCCCCTCGGCGAGTGCCCGGTGCACTCAGGGTGACAGGAGACTTGCACACTGCCCCAGGGTGTGCCCCTGCCCACAGGGGGACCCCACACCTGTGCATGCACAGCCCTTCAGCGGACCCTGAGTACACGTGACTCGTGTCCTGCTGCGTCCCAGCTCTGGCCACTGGGGTCCCTCCAGCCCCTCCCCTGCACGGCCCTTTCCCTGAGCCCTGGCCACAGATGGAACCCAACACGCAGCTGTATCGCTCCCCCCACCTCACCCCTTCCCACCCCTCCCCCTCCCTCCCCTCCCCCACCTCACCCCATCCCACCCCTCCCTCCCCTCCCCCACCTCACCCCATCCCACCCCTCCCCCTCCCTCCCCTCACCCCACCCCTCCCTCTCTTCCCCCTCCTCCCCTCCCCCACCTCACCCCATCCCACCCCTCCCCCTCCCTCCCCTCACTCCACCCCTCCCTCTCTTCCCCCTCCCTCCCCTCCCCCACCTCACCCCATCCCTCCCCCTCCCACAGGGTTGGGGGAACACACTCCGTGACAGAAGGACAGGCTTCTAAGGGTTTTTGTGCTACAATAAATTTCTTTGGATTTTGTCTTCCACGGGTGCTGGGACCCTGCTGCTTGGGACAGGGAGGTGGTGAAGCAACAACAGAGGGGTATGGGTGCCATGGGCGCCATGGGCACCGGGACGTCATGGGGCGGCGCCTGGGTGGGGCACGGTGTGAGTAGGAAGGAAGACGCCAGCCGTGCCATGGTCGTGAACGTTTATTGGTGCCGAGAGCACTCGGTCCTTTGTCTACAGCGACAGCGTCTCATGCGCGGCCTGCGTGAGTTCATGCGAGAGCGGGCAACATGTACAGACAGACGGGCGCGGCACCCACCCCGTCCTCACGCTCAGGGAGATGCGACATGGCAGGGACGAGGACACGCGGACAACTGCCCCTGCACGGACACAGTCGGGGCTGCCAGGAGGACGCTGTCTCCATGGGGACGTCGGGTCCTCGCTGGACCGAGGCTGCGGCTGGGGCGGCCCTGAGTTCTCCGGGGGAACCGTCTGGAAGCAACGGAAGCGGGGGTGTCCGGGTGCCCCCACAAACAGGACGGACTCTGGGGCCTCTGCAGGTGCCCCACAAATAGGAGGGACTCGGGGGCATCCATGGGTGCCCCTACATACACGGATGGATTCTGGGGTGTCCACAGCTGCCTTCACAAACAAGACGGACCCAGCCCGATGAGGAACAGACCAGAGGGAAGGAATGGAGGGAGGAGGAGACACTGGCTCGGTCAGCTGTCGGCCGGCAGGTGTCCACGGAGGAGGGGCGCCGAACCTTGAGGACCATCTCCTGCGGTACAAGGCCGTCCCGGGGGACGCAGGGCTGCCCCATGGATGGCCATTGAGCACTGGGGTCCCGGGCCATCTGAAACAACCCCTTTGTGTTCAGCTTACAGCAGCGGCCCGCCTGCCCGCCCGCCCGCCCACCTGCCCGCCTGTCCACATGCCCGCCTGTCCACATGCCCGCCCGCCTGTCCACATGCCCCCAACTGGATGCTTGACTCAGAAGACCTGCTCCTGGGGTGGAGGCTTTCCTGTGAGGTGGGCTCAGCGCCAGCACCCTGCCCAGCTCAAGCTGCCCTGGCACTGCCCGCTGGCCTTGGGGCTCTGGGCCAGGCACTTCGGGAGCCTGCCTGTCCTCTGCTCAGGGACCACCCAGACCCCATGCGCACAGGGCTCTCTAACCAAAGTCCATGTATTTTTCAAAAACTAGGTCCATCTCCCAATCCCCATTAGAAAAAAATATGATTTCTAGAAATGAGGACACCACCTTGCGGGCGCACAGCCACTGCCCTGTGGATGGTCCACACGTGGGCCTGCAAGAGGTGCCCATGGGGCTTCCCCAGTGGGACCGCCCATCCCGGCGGGGGCCCCCACGCCCACTGGGCTGATGGGAGCTGGATGGCCCCGCTCTGCCAGTCCTGAGCCTGCAATGCCCAAGTGTGGGGTCAGCGACATGTGCCCTGGTTCTGCTGTGGCGGGGCTGCCCCCCCGAGTCTCCCCTCAGGACACCCAGTGCCACGGAGGCAGCCTGGTGGAGGGCACTTGCTGCTGGCTGCTCTGTCCTGAGTGGGAGCAAGGCACCAGGGGGACCCCCCAGCATAGGCTGCAGGGGCCCGGCCACCTGGCTGGCCCAGGGTGGGGGAGCCGAGCAGCCTTCCTGGCCCCACCCCCTGTGACACCAGGTCTGTCCCCAGGGCGCCAACAGCACATGCAACCTGGCCCGGCCTGGCTGAGCTGCTGTCTCTCCACCCCACTGGCTCCTGGCAGCCGCCACCCGTGTCTTCCTGACTTGGAAAGGGGCAGTGGCCTCTCACTGCTTCCGCCCTGCGCCACCAGCTCCAGCTTCCCCTGAGGACGTGGGGAACTCCTGGGCAGGACCCGGGATCGTGAGCCGGGCTGTGTGCAGGTGGTCCTGTCCTGCCCGGTCCCTCGCTCCCCTGGCAGGAACACAGTTCATGGGGTGTAGAAGGGGCCTGACAGAATTGCTTCTTGTTTTATAGACCACATTCCTAGCTCTGAATAAATTATTTATTCAAGAATTTTACACAAAGGAATTTCTATTTGCCTAAATTGATGGAAGCCCTACTCAGTAGAACTCAATTTCTAAATGCAAACCAAGTTTAGAAGCAGGTGCCGGGCGCACGGGGAGGTGTGCTGAACTCAAGAGCCCGGCGCAGCAGATGGCGGCACCGGGCCAGCACCCCACAGGCCCAGCCTCAGCCCTGCTGGATGCCTGTGCCTGCCTTGGTCCAGGGTGTGGGATGCGGGGGACGAGGCAGGAGGCGCCGGGGGTCCCCATGGTGCCCACACCCTCCCCGAGGTGAGCACGGGCCCCAGATCCCACCACGATACTCGGGGCGATGCTGGGCGACAGCTGACCCCACTCAGGGTGTAAGCGAGAACTGGTCCTGCTCCGTGGGCTTCTCCACCCAGGCGCCCAGACCCGCCTTGACGAAGGCCGTGAAGAGCCGTGCCTTGGCCGCCTGGTACTCCTTGGCTGCCAGCTTGGACTCGTGGTACATGCTGGGCTTCGTGATCTTGGCGCGCAGCAAGTGGGGGGGCGCCTGTGGAGGAGGAACAGAGATGGGAGGGTGCTGGAGGCAGAGGACTCCCAGGAGAAGTGCCCTGCACCACCTCCCACTCCAGTGTGAAGGCTGGTCCCAGAGCAGAGGCGGCAGACACAGCTGCCAAGCCAAGGAAACCACCACTGACCAGCCAGCAGGCCACATAGCGGCCACCACAGCAGGTACACGAGTGGGCCCCAAAGCTGCACAGTTGGCCAGAGAGGGACAACGTGGGGGCGTCCTCCAGAATGCGTGTGTGGCCAGAGGCGGCTCTGCAGCCAGCCCCACCCGGACAGGCTGGGCCAGCCGGGGACCGAGGACACCTGTGGAGCATCCAGCTCCCAATGCGGTGGCAGGAACAGAGAGCCATGGGAGCGGCACTGGGGGGAGGTGGAGGCAGTGGCCACGGGGCCCTCAGTACCTTGCCATGCACGCGCGTCCAGCGACAGAACAACGCGCGCTTACACAGGCGCGACGCTCGGCCCAGCTCGTCCTTCCCTGTCGTGGCATTGATGACCTCGATGGCCGAGTCACCCACTGTCCAGTTAACACTGAAGTTGGGCGCCTTTCCTGGCTGCCGTGCCTCTGCGTTGCTGATGCCTGCAGGTGACAGAGCAGGGTGAGCAGGCCCCGGTGCACACTGTCAGCAGACAGACTGGGGCGTGTGTCACGCTGGGCTGGGTCAGCGAGCCTCAGTGCACACGGGATGTTCTCGTACGTGCATTTCCCACACAGGCCCTCAGAGGGGAGGAGCCCCTGGTCACCAGCTGGGGGGACCAGCGCCCAGTCATCACGGGGTACCCCGGGACACGAGCCCTGTATACACTCCTGGCACCAAGGCCAGGGGTTTGGGCCTCACAGTGTCATGTGCACAGCCCTGGGAGGGACAGGACACCCCATTTTCCTCTGCCACCCACCCCACCCTGGGAGCCTGCTGGGTTGTGGGGAGCTGTAGGCAGATGTTGGGCTGGAGTGCAGGCCCTGGGGTGACACACCAATAGAGCCACATGGGTCAGCAGGGTCTGAGGACAAGCCAGGGCCAGAGCACATGCACACAGCACCCTGGGCTCCCAGCACTGCCAAGAACACACTTGGTCAGCATGCCCTCACTGGCACACAGCACCCTGGGCTCCCAGCACTGCCAAGAACACACTTGGTCAGCATGCCCTCACTGGTACACAGCACCCTGGGCTCCCAGCGCTGCCAAGTACACACTTGGTCAGCATGCCCTCACTGGCACACAGCACCCTGGGCTCCCAGCACTGCCAAGAACACACTTGGTCAGCATGCCCTCACTGGCACACAGCACCCTGGGCTCCCAGCACTGCCAAGTACACACTTGGTCAGCATGCCCTCACTGGACTGCCCCACTTCTCCCTGGAGGGCCATTGGAACCACAGGGCCTGTGTTCAGAGCGAGGACCCCGGGCAGGGCCGACGCAGGGAAGCCAGGTGGCCTGGGTCACCAGACCAGGGCATGAGGAAGGTGCCTGGGGGCGGTCAGGGTGGCCTCCAGCTGGAGGGACCCTGAGCCAGACCACCAGAGACAGAGCCTGCCACGTGTAAGCTCAGACACGAGCGATGGCCGAGGTGCCCGCTCCGGGCCACTGTGAGAGGAGTCCAAGTTTTGCAGTCTTGGCCAGGCACTCCCTGCCCACAGGGCATCTGCTCAGACCTGTGTGGGCAGCTCAGTCCGGCCCAGTGCCCTTACCTGGGCATGTGTAAATCAGTGCCAGCCTCAGGATGAGGCCACCCTCACCTGCCACCTTTAGGTCCTGGCACTTTTCTTTTGTTGATAATCTTTACATAGTTGATTAGGGCGCAAAGGTTCAAGGGAAAGTGGGTAAGACCATTATTGTCACATTCTTTTTCCTTCCTGTGTCTGGGGTAAGGAGGGACATAAAGGGAGAAGCCCCACCCAGCCTCCCACTCCAGGTCCCCAGCGTGGGGCGTGCTCCGGGGTCCTGCTCAAGTGGTTTTGCTAGTCCAACAGTTCTGAATGGCTGCCCATCTCGCCACTCCAAGCGCGATGAAATCTCTCCAGAATCCACTGGTTGACACAGTCTCCATTTGCCCAGATTTTCACTGCCAGCACTTGGCTGGGGTAGTTGATTGATTTGTTCTGTCCTCTGTTGTGGTGCCAGGTGTCCTCTGCAGGTTCTGATGGGCTGCCATATCCTCCATGTGCACCTGGATATGCTGCCCACTGCTCCGTCTGAGCCTCGAGGAGGCCCGGCTCTGACATGCACTCCATGGTCAGACCATGGAACCTGCAGTTCTCCTCCATGGTGTGAGTTCTGAGTCCAGCATTCAGCTGGGCAATCCCAGGCCTGTTCTTGTGTGTATTCACCAGTACAGGGTCCAGCACAGACCATCATCCCAAACAGCTTACACGCACACTGGTGATTGGCTGGGTCGGTTCCGTCTCCAGCTCTGTCCTCTACAGAAACCAACGGGCGCTGCAGCCCAGCCTGGCCCCACCCACCACACACTTGGCCACGTAAATAAGTGGGAGCTACAGCCTTGTCAGAGCGACCCTCAATAACTCCCACCGGGCCTGCCCTCTGCCCTGGTTCCTGTGCTTGCCAGTATGTACAGCAGACTGGTCTAGCTTGTCCCACATCCATTCAGCTCCCATAGACGTCAATGGGCATTGAAGCCCAGTTCAACCCAACCAGCCCACTATCCAGCCCATACACATGCCAGTGAGTGCCACTCTCTGTCTGGCCATGCCTGCCCCAGTCCTGGTTCTCATGTTCACCAGTGGCAGTGGCAACCCAAGAGGGAGGTGCCCACTGTTTCCCTACCAGGCCCACTCCCACTCCTGGATGTTGTACTCTCCAGGTGGTTCTGCAGTTTAACTTGGCAGAATTGCCCTCTGTGCCAGCATCTGCCAGCTGATGCTGCGGCAAAGGCCATCCAACCCTCACCCACCCTGATTTATGCTTGCAGCAGTAGGAACAGTCAGCCCAGCCTGGCTTTCCCCTGATTGAGTTCACATGAAGCCAGCAGGTGTTGCAGCCCTGCCCGACCTGGTCTGCCCCCAGTCCCAGCTCTCACGCTCACCAGTGGGAGCAGTGGCCCAGCAGGGGAGCTCCATGCAGCTCCCCCTACTGTATTCATTCCCTACCCCGCAGTCTTGCGTGTGCTGGTTGGGTGCTGCAGCCCAGTCTGGCATGGCCCACCTCACCTCAGCATTTGCCAGTGGGTGCTGTAGCCTGGCCAGGAGGCACTGCCCCAGCTCCAGGGTCCTGCCAGCTTTAAGTGGGCACTTCACTTCCCATCATGCACCTGGTACCATGATGGTTTTAATCTACCGGGAGCCTGGAAGTGGGCAGAGTGTGACCCTGGTCCAATACCACCCGTTTTGGGATATTCGGGTGGGTTCCGAGTGATGCCTGTGCCGTGCAGGCAGGTCTGCGCCTAACAAGCCAGGGAGAAAGGGGGAGCGGGAGGGCAGCTTTTCTTCCTAGGTTATTTTTCCCCCGGAGGGGCTTCTGTTTATTCAATGAGGGGTTTCTGGGGGTCTTTCTGATTCGCCTGTTGGTCTCTTCTCTCTCCCTGCCTGCTTTACTTCCGACTTTGCTCTAGATGAATCCCGCCCCCTGGGCTCTCTGATCACCCCATCTTCGGGTTCTGTCCTACGACTCGGGTGGGGGTTGTCTAAGGGTGGCAAAACCAACAAATACGTGGAAAAGCCGGGCTGCACCTGTTGCTGCCAGCAGGTCAGCAGGCTGGACGACGGGTGACTGTGACAGCCATCCCTGCCCCAGGGCTGGCCCTGCCTCCCCAGGGGATCACATGGCTCGGGCTGCAGCCGCAGAACCCGCTGGAAGAGCTAGCCCACAGGCTGCCATGCCCTGGCCATGCTGGCTGAACAGAGAAGTCCTACCCACCCACGTGTTCCCCAGCCGCAGCACCCACGGGCCCACGCAGCCACACACAGCACGCAGCTTTGGGACATGGCCTCAGCGAGGCCTGCACTCCAGCAGCGGGGCGCTGCAGCGTGGGGCCCGATACGGACTCCCAGGCTCCCAGGCTCCACCCAAGCCGGGACTGGCATAGCAGACAGCGGCATGTGGGTTCGGATCTCGTCAGGACGAGCCCTGCCTTTCTCAAGCTGTCCTTGAGACTTGCAGGTGGGCCTCCCCGGGCGGATGGACTCCCTCTGACTGAGTCTTGCGGTCAGGTGCTTGTCGGGCGTCCTCGTCCACACCTGTAGCTGGGGTCTTGGCACACCGCGTGGCTCACATCTTGACGGAGGCTCATCAGTTCTCTCCTGTCCCAGGGTGTGTTTCTGAGTCTCTTGGCTGCACTGCTGTGACCTCGAGTGTTGCAGAGTTTACGGCAGGGCCAGGCTCAAGCCGGTAGCACGGGGTGCGAGGTGTGAGCTGAGGTTCTGGGACCAACGCATGTCCTGTGGACCTGCCACCACTGGGCGAGGTCCCTCCGCTCCTGCTGTGTCACCTGGGACCTCTGCTGGAGTGTCGTGTCCCGCACACGCCGTGCTCCAGTTCTGCCTGCTGCTCCAAGAATTACCGCAGGGTTTAACTCAAGTGCCTGGAGCGCCGCTGTTTTAATTAAACCTCCTACAGCTGACGCTGTAGTGAGGGAAAGCCACCTGCTCGGCAACCCCCGGTGCATCTCCGCCCGACTGTGGCGTGGGAAGCCCTGTGAGTGTCAACTCGGTCTTCGATCATGGCCTGGAAGAGGCACCTGACTTCGGATCAGCTCAGCTCCAGCTGCGGCTGCTTGGGGATGGAAGATCTTCCCATGTAAATCTCATCTGCCTTTCAACTAGAAAAAAAGGGGGTGTGGCGAGATTTGAGGTGCCTTCCCTACCCCTCCTCTCCTCCTCTCTGTAAATCTGCCTTCCCAATACAAATAAACACATCTTCTTAAAAAATGGCTTTGTCCCAGTGTTTGGTGGAACGCCTTTCAGGCCGGGGAGAGCCCTTCCACTTAGTTCCTGTTCCAGGGAGCGTGTCCGCATGGACCAGGCTCGACTCTCGCTCTCCTGAAGGCGACTGCCATCAGTGTTCGGCTCAGCCACGGAGCCTTCCCCGGTGACCCTGACCCCACTGGCCTCGGCGACTCCTGCTTGGACACAACCCTTCCTTCCTGCTGATGCTGTCCTGGCAGCCCCTCGGCCCTGCTGCTCCACACCTGAGGGCAGGTCCCTGGCAGAGGGCTGCTCCCGCGCCTGCAGAGTGACCTGACCCTGGGCTCATCGCAGACACAGGAGGGGCAAGGCTTCCGCTCACTCAGGATTTCTGTCCTGGCTGACTTGTATCCCAAAGATGCTTCTCTGGCTCCGTCCTGAGGCGGCACGGCCTTGGCCAGCGTGGTGCTCCCTGAGGAACGGACGGCCCATCCCCACAATGCCCTCGGCGGCCCCATGACTACACGACATGAGACGGAATTCTGGCTAAGGAAGGCTTACCGGCAGACAGCACCCATCAGACCTGGCCCTACAGCTGGGACAGCACCCAACAGACCAGGCCACACGAGCTGGGACAGCACCCAACAGACCAGGCCACGCAAGCTGGGAAAGATGCTGGCATTAACAAGGTGGAAAACACAAGGCACAGAGAACCCAGTGCTGACCTTGTGTGACCTGGGGGTCAGTGCTGACCTTGTGTGACCTGGGGGTCAGTGAAGTACACTGGGGCCAGACCTCAGTGGGGAGGCGTGAGTCGGCACAGCACACCATGCACAGTGTGGACATGCAGGCACGGACACGGACACCCAGTCCCACGCATCCCAGCTGTTCTTGTGTGCGGGTCACCAGCTGAGGAGGGATCAGTCTTGGCCTTTCCAAACCCTTTGCCTTGGACGCGTCCGCCTGCTCCTCCCAGCGCTCCACGTCCCTGGACGCGTCCGAGTGCTCCTCCCGCCACTCCACGTCCCTGGACGCGTCCGCCTGCTCCTCCCACTGCTCCACATTGCTTATTTGACTCCCTTCCACTTCAGTGACACCCATGCTCGTGGGTCCAGCTTCACTAAAGGCCCACGGCCGCTTGCTGACCTCCCTGACAGGGTCGGAGCTGCCTGTCCGGCTGATTTGAGCACTCAGCACACAGCCAGGCTCTGGAGGCGTTGTTTCAGGCCGAGGGCCAGGGGCCACTGGCTGCAGGCCTGGCCTAGGTTAACACTTGGCATCAGTTCCCTCCATTTCCCTGGAGCTCCTGCCGACCCCCCTGGAGGATCTGAATGGGCATGCGGGCCGTCCCTGCCTCAGCAGATGAAGCTGAGGTGGGCACTGATCCACACGCCTGCTGCAGCTGCCCATGGTGCCCCATGGTATGCCGTAGGCAGAGGAGTGGAGGGATGGCCGGCACTGGTGAGCATGCAGGGGACAGGGCTGGCCCTGTGGGGGGTGCACACTCATGAATGCCTGCTCACTGAGACCAGCACTGGGGTCTGCTGGACACACAGGAGCCGGATGTGAAGGCTCTAAACCCATGTGCTCTAGTCTCCAGGTGAGAGGACCCTGTCCCGAGGCGGCCGCCAGAGACGGGGCCAATGCTGAAGTCTGCTGAGACCTCCCCCAGGAGAGCCTGGGCTGGGCCCATCAACAAGGCAGGTGCTTGGACTGGTAAATGCTGACAAGGGTGGCGGGGCATGGCTGCCTGTGGAGGGGTGCTGTGGCTCCCCGGGGATCCAGGTGGTTCCTGCGGCGTGACTGCTGGGCGAGGACAGAGCTGACTCGGCCCCCAAAGGCCTGTCCCTACCTCCCCTCACAGCGTCACTAGCTTCTGAATCTGCCCCTTCCTGCCAACATCAGGCTCAACACCAGTGTGGGAGGCTAGTCCCGTTGTGCCGGACACTGGCCAGCCTGCCCAGCTCTGAGCAGAACCAACCTCTTCATAAAGCGCCCACAGCAGACAGCCCCCGGATGCAGAGCATGGTGAGTGGGGAGGGTTTGCCACTCTGCCTTGAGCTGGCTGCGTGGTGGACACAGCCTGGCCCTGCAGTCACAGCCTGGCCCTGTGGACACAGCCTGGCCCTGCAGACACAGCCTGGCCCTGTGGACACAGCCTGGCCCTGTGGACACAGCCTGGCCCTGCAGACACAGCCTGGCCCTGTGGACACAGCCTGGCCCCTGTGGACACAGCCTGGCCCTGCGGACACAGCTGGGCCCTGTGGACACAGCCGGGCCCTGTGGACACAGCCTGGCCCTGCAGTCACAGCCTGGCCCTGTGGACACAGCCTGGCCCTGTAGACACAGCCTGGCCCTGCAGACACAGCTGGGCCCTGTGGACACAGCCTGGCCCTGTGGACACAGCCTGGCCCTGCAGTCACAGCCTGGCCCTGCAGACACAGCTGGGCCCTGTGGACACAGCCTGGCCCTGTGGACACAGCCTGGCCCTGCAGACACAGCCTGGCCCTGTGGACACAGCCTGGCCCTGCGGTCACAGCCTGGCCCTGTGGATACAGCCTGGCCCTGCAGACACAGCTGGGCCCTGTGGACACAGCCGGGCCCTGTGGACACAGCCTGGCCCTGCAGTCACAGCCTGGCCCTGTGGACACAGCCTGGCCCTGCAGACACAGCCTGGCCCTGTGGACACAGCCTGGCCCTGCGGTCACAGCCTGGCCCTGTGGATACAGCCTGGCCCTGCAGACACAGCTGGGCCCTGTGGACACAGCCGGGCCCTGTGGACACAGCCTGGCCCTGCAGTCACAGCCTGGCCCTGTGGACACAGCCTGGCCCTGCAGACACAGCCTGGCCCTGTGGACACAGCCTGGCCCTGCGGTCACAGCCTGGCCCTGTGGATACAGCCGGGCCCTGTGGACACAGCTGGGCCCTGTGGACACAGCCTGGCCCTGTGGACACAGCCTGGCCCTGCAGACACAGCCTGGCCCTGTGGACACAGCCAGGCCCTGCGGTCACAGCGTGGCCCTGTGCACACAAACTGACCCTACAGACACAGCCGGGCCCTGCGGTCACAGCCGGGCCCTGCGGTCACAGCCTGGCCCTGCGGACACAGTGTGGCCCTGTGGACACAAACTGACCCTGTGGACACAGCCTGGCCCTGTGGTCACAGCCTGGCCCTGCGGTCACAGCCTGGCCCTGCGGTCACAGCCTGGCCCTGCGGTCACAGCCTGGCCCTGCGGACACAGCCTGGCCCTGGGGTCACAGCCTGGCACTATGGATACAGCCTGGTCCTGCGGACACAGCCTGGCCCTGCGGACACAAACTGACCCTGCGGACACAGCCTGGCCCTGCGGACACAGCCTGGCCCTGTGGACACAGCCTGGCCCTGCAGACACAGCCTGGCCCTATGGTCACAGCCTGGCCCTATGGACACAGCGTGGCCCTGCGGTAACAGCCTGGCCCTATGGACACAGCCTGGCCCTGTGGTCACAGCCAGGCCCTGGGGTCACAGCCTGGCCCTGCGGACACAGCCTGGCCCTATGGACACAGCCTGGCCCTGCTGTCACAGCCTGGCCCTGCAGACACAGCCTGGCCCTGTGGACACAGCCTGGCCCTGCAGACACAGCCTGGCCCTGCAGACACAGCGTGGCCCTGCGGACACAGCCAGGCCCTGTGGACACAGCCTGGCCCTATGGACACAGCCTGGCCCTGCGGACACAGCCTGGCCCTATGGACACAGCCAGGCCCTGTGGACACAGCCTGGCCCTGCGGTCACAGCCTGGCCCTGCGGTCACAGCCAGGCCCTGCGGACACAGCCTGGCCCTGCGGACACAGCCTGGCCCTGCGGACACAGCCGGTCCCTGTGGACACAGCCTGGCCCTGCGGACACAGCCTGGCCCTGCGGACACAGCCTGGTCCTGTGGACACAGCCTGGCCCTATGGTCACAGCCTGGCCCTGTGGTCACAGCCTGGCCCTGTGGACACAGCCTGGCCCTATGGTCACAGCCTGGCCCTGTGGTCACAGCCTGGCCCTGCGGACACAGCCTGGCCCTGCAGACACAGCCGGGCCCTGCGGACACAGCCTGGCCCTGTGGTCACAGCCTGGCCCTGTGGACACAGCCTGGCCCTGTGGACACAGCCTGGCCCTGCGGTCACAGCCGGGCCCAGCAGCATGAGCTCACTCGCCCCAAGAACATCAGCCAGCTTTGATCTTAAACAGCTTACAGCACACCGAGTAACGTCCCCAGTGACACTGCCTCACATTAAAGGCATGCTAGTAGCCAGGCCAGGGGCAGACGCGTACACACCAAGGAATATGGTTTAGTTTTGAGTTATGGTTTTAGTTTTGAGCTCAAAACAAGTAAGTTGATAAGTTTTAGAAGGATCAAAGTACCTTTGCTGTTTCCTTTTAAATAAAGGTGGGCTTAGAAGTTAGGACCATGAGTTGAAAAGCTCCTGTCCACTTTACTGCCAGCCACTGAATTCTAAACAGAAGAGAGAGCTGTAGTAAAGGGTGGACAGGGCTGAGAATTCACGGCCCGGGGCTGCAGGTGCGTGCCAGGCTGCGCTGTGACAGGGCTCCCTGGTGGCTCGGGAGAGGACGACCAGTGACCAGCCAGTGACCAGGGAAGTGGCCACTCAGGAATCTCCCAAGTCAGCCCCGTGGCGAGCACAGCTGCTGGGGGACAGAGGAGTCTGCGGGGGCCAAGCCCGCTGGGATTTCTTCCATGTGAGTAAGAGGGCCGAACCCAGGAAGCCCCAGGGACACGGCTCTTCTCAAGTCAGCCTAGAGGAGGCTCTGCTGCTGCCCTGAGAGCAGGGGGTGGTGCTACACAACTTGGAACAGGTGGAGAGAGGCTGGCAAGGGACTGGCCACTGGGGAGGGGCAGGCAGGAGGGAGGCACCGGTCCCCGATGGGGCAGGCAGCCGGGAGGCACCGGTCCCCGATGGGGCAGGCAGCTGGGAGGCACTGGTCCCCGATGGGCAGGCAGCCGGTAGGCACTGGTCCCTGACGGGGTGGGTAGCCAGGAGGCACTGGTCCCCGACGGGGTGGGCAGCTGGGAGGCACTGGTCCCCGATGGGACAGGCAGCCGGGAGGTACTGATCCCCGACAGGGTAGGCAGCTGGGAGGCACTGGTCCTGATGGGGCAGGTAGCTGGGAGGCACTGGTCCCTGACGGGGCGACGGGGCGGGCAGCCAGGAGGCACTGGTCCCTGACGGGGTGGGTAGCTGGGAGGTACTGGTCCTGATGGGGCAGGCAGCTGGGAGGCACTGGTCCCTGACGGGGCGGGTAGCCGGGAGGTACTGATCCCCGACGGGGTGGGCAGCTGGGAGGCACTGGTCCCCGACGGGGCGGGTAGCCAGGAGGCACTGGTCCCCGACGGGGCGGGTAGCCAGGAGGCACTGGTCCCCGACGGGGCGACGGGGCAGGCAGCCGGGAGGCACCGGTCCCCGACGGGGCGGGCAGCTGGGAGGCACTGGTCCCCGACGGGGCGGGTAGCCGGGAGATACCGGTCCCCGACGGGGCGGGTAGCCGGGAGGCACTGGTCCCCGACGGGGCGGGCAGCTGGGAGGTACTGGTCCCCGACGGGGCGGGTAGCCGGGAGGCACTGGCCCCCGACGGGGCGGGCAGCCGGGAGGTACTTGCCGCTAAGCAGGGGCTTGTTGAGGGTGTAGAGGGGGGGCAGGTCCTCGATGTTGGACAGCCGCTGGTACATGGCCCTGGAGAGATGGTCCCCGTGGTAGAGGCTCCCCAGGATGATGCTGGACAAGTAGATGGGCTCCACGAAGATGCTGAGGAGTGCTCCCTGGATCCCCAGCACATTCCACCTGTGGGGAAGGAGACCGTGTTGGGGCGTGCAGCCCAGCCCCCGCCCCCACACGGCAGCCCAGGCTCCAGTCCCGGGGGCAGCGACCAGCCGTGCAACAGGCCACAGTCTGAGAAAATTCGGGAAAGTCACTGTAAACTAGGAGGCAGTCTCTACCTTTGCTCTCCCAGCAGGACACTGAGGGCTTGTAGAAGGTGTCAGCCCGTCGCATGCCTCCTATGTGAGCGAGCGGGGGCGGCCCACACGCCTGGCCACACATGACAGGCATGGCAGTCCCAGGAAGGATGGCAAACCCAGATTTGTGCTTCAGGACAGGTGCCACCTTGGGTGGTTCAGCCCTGTCTGTGCCGGGTTAGGCCCAGGGTTCAGCCCTGACTGGGCCAGGTTAGGGCCAGGTTAGGGCCAGGGTTCAGCCCTGACTGGGCCCGGTTAGGGCCAGGTTAGGGCCAGGGTTCAGCCCTGTCTGTGCCGGGTTAGGGCCAGGTTAGGGCCAGGGTTCAGCCCTGACTGGGCCAGGTTAGGGTCAGGGTTTAGCCCTGTCTATGCCGGGTTAGGGCCAGGGTTCAGCCCTGACTGGGCCAGGTTAGGGTCAGGGTTCAGTCCTGTCTGTGCCGGGGTACAGTCAGTTCTGTTTTGGGCACTCCTGACAGTGACCCTGTAGGAATGCCTTTGCCCTGTGCTACTTGCGGGAGGACCCTGGGCGCTGGCAGGGTCCGCAGCCCTGGCAAGAAGCAGCGCTCATCGGGTTAGGGTCTCAGACGCACACTGACGCCCCTCAGGTGTAGCTGCATCTCCCCAGCTAGACCCTGGCCAGGTGTGGCCTCATGCTGCGGCCCTGTACCCAGCACTGGTCAGCAGCACACCTGTGCAAGTTCCCAGCACTGCTGACTCGTCCCCTGGACCCAGGACCCAGCCTGGCCCTGAGGACTGAGCGCAGTCCCCGCCCAGAACGGCAGCTGCCTGCTCACTCCCACCACACCCACCCTGCATGTAGCCCGCGTAGAGCCCTATGCCCTCAGGTGGCCTCACAGGATGGCTTCACCTGCCCGCCTCCACCAGAGAGCACTAGGCCCCCAGCACTGCCTCCTCTGCTGCCTGCACTGCAGCCGCATTGTCTGGTCCCCGGCCCAGCCGCCCCGCAGAGCCTGTGCAAGCAGAGCCGTGGCTGCCTGGTGCAGATCTGGGTACCAGTGCTCTGGGTCTGAGGGCCACCCTCTGCCGACAGCCCCCCCTGTGTTGGGACACAGAGTTCACAATGGAGACCTCGGAGATGGAACTCGTCCCCCACCCGTGCCAGGCAGGAGAAATGGAGCCAGGATTGCATCTCCAGACCTGTGTGTGTGTGTGTGTGTGTGTGTGTGTGTGTGTGCGATTTCTTGTTCTGCCTGCACCTGAGGCGTTCATTTAAAGAATATATGTTTTCCTAAGAGGCATTCCCACTCACATCCATTTTAAAACATGTCACTGTGGTGGGTGTTTGGCACGGTGACTGCAGTGCCACTTGGGATACCATGTCACATCCCGAATGTCTGGGGTCAGGCCCTGGCTCAGTCCCTGCTTCCCACTGCTGTGTGCCCTGGGGACAGCACAGAACGCATGAGTCCTTGGGCCCCACTGCCTCTGCACAGGCCAGGTCCGTGGCCTCCGCCTGGTCCAGCTCTGCACCATGTGTGTCAACTGGAAACAGAAACACGCCAGGAGCAAGGCTGTCAGAGTGCTGTAGCTGTTGACGGCACCACTGGGGTCCCGGGGACCCTAAAGGACATTGGGGCACCGTGGGGCAGTGGCTGCTTCCTGGGAACTCACTCCTGGTGCTGTTCACCCATGGCAGCGCAGGGGCATCCTGCCTCCGTGGCAGTTTAGGGACATCCTGCCCCCGCCAGGGTTGCTGTTCACCCGTGGCAGTGCAGGGGTATCCTGCCCCGCCAGGGTTGCTGTTCACCCGTGGCAGCGCAGGGGCATCCAGCCCCCGCCAGGTTTTGTGACTGCAAGGAGTGACTGACACGCCAAGGATGGGCTTGCCTAAGCCAGGTTCTGGCTCCCCAACTGTCCCTCCTTGACCCAGAACCTATCCCCGGGCACTCACGCCTGCGCTCTGCCCTGCCCTTGGCATTTCTAGAAATGTAAAAACAGAATCTGGCATAGCAAGTCTTCTACATGGCAGTGCCCAGAACTGGGACACACCCCGCCATCTGTTTACCCGTTTACCTGCGAATGGCTGCCAACTTCTGATGACTGCCTAGAAAGTTCCACGAGCACATTTGTGAGGGTCTGAGTGGAAACTGTTTCATGTGCTCAGTGTTGGGTCCATGATGAAGTGTCCAGAGAGATGCGGAAGTAACGACACATGGACCGGGGGTCCTACAACTCCTGAGACCCTCTCATAGGCTACAGTGACACTAGGAGGGGTCCAGCAAACGTAGCAGGGACACCCGCAGCACCCACGTGGAAAACACAGGCAACTGGGGAGAGGCCTCCCATTGCAGAGCTGCTCCCCTGGGGGACAGGATGGCACTCCAGGGCTCCAGCACCTGCTGTCTGCGCAAGGCACTGGCCTGCCACCTCAGAGGCGCCCTGGGGCAGGAGCCACTGAGAGCAGGTGGCGCAAGCAGAAGCAGATCGTGGGGTCAAAGGAGCAAAAAAACCCAAATCACTCCCAACCCGGCCAGCAGCCCAGTGGACCGGTCAGAAGCTTCCCCCGTGTAGAGCCTGCACATAATTTGGTTCTTCTAATGCCAGCAAGCACAGAACCCAAGGTGTACAAAGGAACAGGGACAATGACCCACTCAAAGGACAAAAATCAATGTACAGAAACTGACGCTACGGAAATGCAGATCTCGGAGCTGCCCCAAGGAGCTGAGGGTCATGAGATGCTCCAGGAGTTAAGACTCACGTGTTGGTAAGAGATGGAGCTCAAGCAGACCCAACGCCAAACCTACCAGGACTGACCTGAAATGCGTCAGAGGCGCGGAGGGAAGAATTACGAAAGTGATTGTGAAGACTCAGCATCTGAAATCTCCGAGCCAGAGGACACTGCAGGGAGTTGGACCACCCTTTACGCGGACAAATGTGAATCTTCTAGGAGTTAAAGCAGGAGGAGGAAGGGCCTGCGAGCTAGTCATCCAGGAAAGTGACCATGTCAGTCCCCGAGACCTGCAGAGGGGCACCCTGACTGGACAGGCAGCCCAGTGACCATGTCAGTCCCCGAGACCTGCAGAGGGGCACTCTGACTGGACAGGCAGCCCTGAGTACACACAAGACTCCCCAGGGCCACAGCAGCAAGCCATGGTCACGTACAAGTTCTCTCCAAGACCATCAGTGTGTGCTTCACAGAAACTGCGATGGCCAGGACAGGGGCCAGTGGGGAAGAAAAGTCACCACTCATGGACACTTTTGAGAAGTAAGGACTTTGGGAGAGAAATAAAAACAGAAAATTCACTCACCCCAGTCCCGCCCCCAGGAGATGCTGCGGGCACGCTACAGGTGGAGGCAGAGCACAGGATGGCAGTGCAAAGCCATGTGGGCATCAAGGTGACCTGGTATACCTGGCGTGCAGAGGACTGCAGAGCAGGAATGTCTGTACAGCCATACTCCTCACTAACCACAGATAACATGTGAACACGGGATCTGGGAACTCCACACTAACCACAGACAACATGTGAACACGGGATCTGGGAACTCCACATTAACCATAGATAACATGTGAACATGGGATCTTGGAACTCCACACTAACCACAGACAACATGTGAACATGGGATCTGGGAACTCCACACTGACCACAGACAACATGTGAACACGGGATCTGGGAACTCCACACTGACCACAGACAACATGGGATCTGGGAACTGCACACTGACCACAGACAACATGTGAACATGGGATCTTGGAACTCCACACTGACCACAGACAACATGTGAACATGGGATCTGGGAATTCCTCACTGACCACAGACAACATGTGAACATGGGATCTGGGAACTCTACATTAATCACAGACAACATGTGAACATGGGATCTGGGAACTCCACACTGACCACAGACAACATGGGATCTGGGAACTCCACACTGACCACAGACAACATGTGAACATGGGATCTGGGAACTCCACACTGACCACAGACAACATGTGAACACGGGATCTGGGAACTCCACACTGACCACAGACAACATGGGATCTGGGAACTCCACACTGACCACAGACAACATGGGATCTGGGAACTCCACACTGACCACAGACAACATGTGAACATGGGATCTGGGAACTCCACACTGACCACAGACAACATGTGAACACGGGATCTGGGAACTCCACACTGACCACAGACAACATGGGATCTGGGAACTCCACACTGACCACAGACAACATGTGAACACGGGATCTGGGAACTCCACACTGACCACAGACAACATGGGATCTGGAAACTCCACACTGACCACAGACAACATGCGAACATGGGATCTGGGAACTCCACACTGACCACAGATAACATCTGAACATTGGATCTGGGAATTCCTCACTGACCACAGACAACATGTGAACATGGGATCTGGGACCTCCACACTAATGGTTAGCCAACATGTGAGCCTGTGATCTGTGATACTGGGATCCAGGAAGGCAGGTGAGGAAATGTGAGCCCTCAGCATGCAGCTACTGAGGGGACCCCAGGGCTCTGTCTGCTTGGAGGCCTGCAGAAACAAATGTGCAGTGGGACTCAGGACGGGGCGTCTCATGCCTGGATCCCAGACGCCAGCCACCATGTACACGTTGTGAGCTGTCCTGGGCCTGCCTGGGCTCCGGGGGCTGCTCCCTTTGGGGTGAGTACACCAAGTGGGGAGGTCTCTGTGACTGGGCAGGTCCAGGGCCCACCCGCCGCCCTCATTGGGCAGTGAATGGGACTGGGGAGGGGCGCGACCTTGGACCGGGGAGTTTAAACTTCTAGCAGCCTCCCGGCTGCTGGTGGGTCTCAGGACAGGGCGTCTCATGCCTGGATCCCAGACGACAGCCACCATGTGCACATGGTGAGCTGTCCCTGGGCGGCCAGTGTGCCATTTGGTGCCAGGCTCTGCCTGCTGGCTACCTGGCTAGGAGCTCTGGGGTTTTGGTTCTTTGAGTCACTGCTTAGTTAGCTCCAGGTTGAACCCATTGTGCTTCTAGGACGTGAAGCATTCGCAAAGATTCCCAATGACAGTAACTCTTCCTTTGAAAAACTTGTAATCACTGAACAATGCTGACCACCAAATACCAGTCCATGCAACAGCTATGGCTCGGGGCTTGTCCAGCAGAATCATATCCTGTTACCTGACATGATGATGGATCAGCACATGGGTCACATTAAGCAGGGCCATTACATTAAATAGCAATAGAACCATAACCAGGGCAGATTCTGCGAGGGATGTGTGGGCCAAACCCTGTGGAAATTCTAGCCCCACTGGTTAGCTCAAGAGTTGGGGTGGTGGGGAAGACCAGGCTGAATCTGTCCACGTCATCCACTGGCAAATCCAAACACCAGAACAGTGTGGGTCGAGCCAGGTTCGGGTGCAACAAAGACTAGTGCCCAATACGGAATGCCAAGGTGAGGTTGCCTATACCAGAAGGGACCGCAGTGCCCAACCAGCAAGCATGAGAACAAGGAAGGGAGGGGGCAGAGCTGGCAGGGGGAATAAGGGAAGGTTCTTTTGCTGGACAGCTACTGCCGCTGGAGAGCGTGGTATGGGACGGGGGCAGACCAGACTAGGCAGGGCTACCACACCTGTGCGCCTCATGTGGACTAGATCAGGGAAAAGCCGGGCTGGGCTGATTATTCCTACTGGTGCAAACAAAATTAGAGTGGGTGAGGGTTGTTTGGGCTTAGCCACAGCATCAGCTGGTAGAAGCTGGCACTGAGGGCTAGTTCTATCAAGTCAAACCACAGAACTATCTGGAGAGTGCATAATCCGGGAGTGGGAGTGACCTGGGAGGGAAACTGTGGGCTCCTTCCTCTTGAGTTACCACTTCCACGAAAGAGCATAAAACCAGGCTAGGGGCTGGGGTGGAATGGGGTGTGGGACAGACTGGACTACTGCTACACATACTGGCAAATCAGGGTAGAGGGCGGGCCTGGTGGGGGTTATTGTAGGTCGCTCCAACTAGGCTGCAGTTCCCACTGGTTTATGTGAGGGCCGAGTATGTGCTGGGCAGAACCAGTCTGGACTGCAACACCCATTGGTTCCAGTGGAAGTTGGGAGTTAAAACAGAACCAACCCAGCAATTGCAACCACCAGCTGATCAGGGTGATGGACTGTGCCGGGCCCTGTACTTGCTAGCACATACCAGAATCTGGTTTGAGAACACCTCAGACAAAGTTTCTTTGGGGATCTCCCCAACCGAAATACAGGACTCAGAAGCCTCACCAAGAAAAGAGAGAAGACAGAACAGGTCAATCAAACACCTCAGCTATATTTTGGCAGCGAAATATGGGTCAAACAGAGACTCTATGCTGGACTATGTCAACCAGTGGATTCTTCAAAGACCTCACAGTGCTTGGAGTGGCAAGATGGCACGATTCATAATTGCTGAAATATCAAAGCACTTGAGCAAGAACCTCGGAGCATACCCTACATCCAGGACCTGGGGAGGGTGGGAAATTGGGTGGGCCTTCTCCCTTAATACCCCCCTTTAAACATGAAGGAAATAAAAAAAAAATGAAGGAAATAACATGGAAATAATAATCTTACCCACTTTCCTGTAGCCCTTGAACCTTTTTACCCTAATTAACTATGTAAAGATTGTCAAAAATATGATTTAAAAATTTTAAAAAAAAGCAAATGTGCAGAGAACACGAGGTGCATGCTGGCGCTGGAGCTGGGCTCCACAGCAGGCACACACACGACAGTGCCACACACTCCACAGCAGGCACACACACCACGGTGACACACACCAAGTACCCACGAGCCAGCGCTGGGCTGGAAGAACCAAGTACACGCCAGTAAGTACTTGCTGGTGGGCAACCTGGAGGTTCCAGACAAGATCTACCAAAGAAAACTGGCAGCGAAGGCTGGCCGACAGCACCTGCCACCTTGCCGATGCTGACCAACACCACCAGGAACCCTTCAGCAGTGGTGCCACCGCAGGGCGCTTACAAGGGAGGCATTTTTATGTGCCTTTTAGCACTTAACAGTTTATTGTCTTATTTTCAAATAAGCATGAGTTTAGTCATGGAGGCAACTGCAGAACGACATTAGCACATGCAACAGGATGCCTCAGGTTGCCGGGTTCCTGTACCCACACGCAAGGCTGGCAAGAGGCTCCTGGTTTCCTGGCTGACTTGGTGGTACTGGCCAGTGCAGCCGTCTGGGCGTGAATCGGTGAGTGGAAAATCTTTTGGTTTCTCTTCTCTGCAAATCTGTCTTTCCAATAAAAATAAATAGAACTTTTAAAAAAAGAACAAACAAACCAACGCCTGGCACAGCCTGGCACTCGGGAGAGCCATCCTGTTGCTTTGAATCCCGCTTGGAATCAGACGATGTCAGGCAGTGTGGGGAATGAGGGGCGCCTGGCAGGTGCAGGCGGGGTGGGGCCTGGCTCACCGTGCTATCTTGTCACTGCAGGACATGGTAAGCAGCCGCTCGCCCTGCAGCACGCCGTCCCACGTCTGGATGCTGGCATTGGAGCGCACGGGGATGGTGCCCTCGCCAGACTCTATCTTGGTCCGCAGCTGTCCTCTCGCTTTGCGGTTCGGATGCCTGTCTGCCGGCTCTAGGAGAGAAGCAGACGGCTCAGACCCACCTGAAGGCCAGGGATGCTCTGTGGGGCAGACGTGCGTACACACATGTACGCGTACATCATGTGTACAACACACGTGTACACACAGCAAGGTGAGATGGGGGGACCCCATGACACTCCTGGGCGTGGGCACCTTGCAGCGGGGTGGGGCTGAGGGAAAATGGGGGCTGTTTTAACAAGACGTATTTCTGGCACTGGGTGTGGGGTGTGAGCTGAAACCCCGCGGCAGCCCTGCGCGGTGAATGTGTGCGTTGCCTTTCCAGGGGCCGAATGTTGGATTTGGTATAAATAACGCTGACGTGTGGAGAGGGGATGCGAACACACATCACCAGGAAGTAAAGCTCTGACTGTGTGCAAAGAAGGCTGGGCGAAGGCTGCCGCAGCTGGAGCCTGTTCGCTGGCAGCGTGTGGTGTACCCGGCAGGCGTGGCTGTGGCAGGGTGGTCAGGGGTGACGAACGGCGTGGTTGTGGCGCTGTGACTGTCACAGCAGCCTTGTTTTGTGTGAAGCCTTCTTCCTACTGTTGCTTCCTGCTCTCCGGTGCGGCCGCTGGAGCCTTACTCCACAGGAGTTACTTGCTTCCTGCTCTCCAGTGCGGCCGCTGGAGCCTTACTCCACAGGAGTTACTTGGTTAGTTAGAACCAGCACTTTGCTTTAGAGTCAGCATTTTCATTCATTAGACTTTTCTCAGTATCCCAAAGACAAGAATCCACGCTGTACAGCCGCTCCATGGTTCACATGGAGACCAGCACTATGAAAGCAGCCTCTCAGGGATCCGTAGTGCCACCCACCCGACACCCAGGCACCGGGGGCTGCGGGGCACCCTCCCCTCCCTGGGGCTCCGCAGTGCCGCCCGACACCCCAGGCACTCGAGGCTGAATACCCTCCTGGGGGGTCCACAGTGCTGCCCACCTGACACCCCAGGCGGGGCTGTGGGGCAGCCTATCCTCCCGGGAGTCTACAGTGCCACCTGGCACCCCAGGCACTCGAGGCTGCCTACCCTCCCGGGGGATTCACAGTGCCACCTGACACCCCAGGTGCCCAGGGAGGCCTACTCTCCCCTGGGGTCCGCAGTGCCACCTGACACCCCAGGTGCCCAGGCGGCCTACCCTCCAGGATGGGCTCGTGGGGTGAGAAGATCCGGGCGTCGCCGCACGGGGAGGTACTGATGTACAGGTGGAATTGCACGTTCTCCTTGAGCCGCAGCCCGCCCCGCTCCGAGCGCTGGAAGATGGATTTCTTCTGATCGTCTTTGCTGCTGGGAAGGGAGACATGGCCGAGTGACCTGGGCCGCACACAGCCCGAGCTCCGCCGCTTCCCACAGGGATGGACCAGTCACGTGTCTTAGTGACAGCAATGGAGAGCCTGTCCCCTGTCATATGTGCCCCCAAACAGATGGCCTCCGCACAGAGACACGCGGCAAGGAGCGACCCCAGCGACGGTGTGGGGAGCTGCTCATGTCCTCACAGCCGTCACCACAGTCACATGACCTGGAAGGCAGGCTTGAAATTTATGGTCATGCCAAGCACACACATGTACATGTGTGTACACGCCTTGTGGCACTTCAGTCAGCTCGGCCTTAACTGGGAGCAGACTGGCCACTGTTGGAGAACTTTCCGGGGACCCAGAGAAGGCAACGGCCGAGTGCTGCACTTACTTTAGATAAAGCTCCAGCTGCGTGTAGAGGAACCTGAGCAGGGACCTCCGTGAGATGATCTCGGCGTGGCAGTCGTTCAGGGCCAGGCCGCGGTCGCTCATGTACTCGCCGTTGATGCACTTGGTCCCCGTGGAGATGCTGATCACCTTGGCGTCCTTAACGTCAGAGCCTGCACGGGACAGACTTGCCTGTGACCCACAGGACGCGCACTGACGGTGCACGAGGGGGCGGGACTCTGCAGGGTCCCTGCACCGTGCCAGCTTCTCACACGTGCCCTGCCCAGCCCCGGGTGAATGCGTGTCAGGTGCACAGACGTGAACCCGCAGGTGACCTGAGACAGGCCTTGCCTGCAGCACCCCTGACAGTAAACACAATGGGACCCCACATAAGGACAGGCCACCTGCCAGCTGGGTTCTGGAATAAACAGCAAAGGACAGAGTGACCAGGGAGGCCTTACAGGCACAGCTGACCTTCCCAGGAGGGTCCTGCATGGCCTCATCCTGGGACACTGACCACGGCCACAGGCTGAGCCTGCCTGGGCCCACCAGCTGCCCGGCGGCCCTGTGTGAGAGGCAGGTGTGCAGTGTGGCGGACGCAGCATCCTCTGCTCTCACCACGCTCCCCCAACTTGCCTTCACAGCTGAGGCCTCTCAGACCTAAAGGCCCATCGGGAGCCCTGCATCGGACGCCGCAGCAGCGCCTGTGCCGGCGGGCCTAGGCTGCACCCCCGCCAGGGGGCTGCACCCCTGCCAGCGGGAGTCAAAGCCTAAGGAAGGTGAGCTCGCCCACACGTGCTGCCAAGGCAGAGTGAGCTGGCCTCTGAGTGCCGTGGGCAGCGGCACTGGGAGTCACCCAGAACTCACAACCACAGGACTGAGGACTCTGCCTCCCTCCTTCCTACTCTGAGCGGTAGATCCCAGGGTGGAGCCCCTTCTAACTGGCTGGGGGGATAGCTTCCAGAGCGGAGGACTTCTCCTCGGCCATTGGAGGGGAGGTGCCGCCTCTAGGCCCCTCTGCCCTGGCCAGCAGGGGGAGTGCCCCTCTAGGCCCCTCTGCCCTGGCCAGCAGGGGGAGTGCCCCTCTAGGCCTCTCTGCCCTGGCCAGCAGGGGGAGGTACCCCTCTAGGCCCCTCTGCCCTGGCCAGCAGGGGGAGTGCCCCTCTAGGCCCCTCTGCCCTGGCCAGCAGGGGGAGTGCCCCTCTAGGCCCCTCTGCCCTGGCCAGCAGGGGGAGGTACCCCTCTAGGCCTCTCTGCCCTGGCCAGCAGGGGCAGTGCCCCTCTAGGCCATCCTACATGGTATTTTTCCAGCTGTTCTGTTCCTGTTGTAGCACCCTTCCACCCCAACACTCAGTGTCAAATCAGTCAGACCCAGGTCACTAGGGAGCTTGTCAGCAGGCTCCTGGCATTCCCAGAGCAAATGTGTCCTCCCCACAAAGAGGACATCAGCCACTCCGTCCAGGTGAAGGGCTCAGATGCCTAGACCAGCACCTTAGGAAAGGGGGTGTCCCGGCAGGTGGCAGGAGCCTGCCCAGAGCGAGGGGCTGTCCACCAGCCAAGCACAGGAGTGGCCCCACACCCCAGGGAGGTTACCTGTGGTCATGACCCCACACCCCAAGAGGTTACCTGTGGTCATGACCCTACACCCCAGGGAGGTTACCTGTGGTCATGCCCCACACCCCAGGAGGTTACCTGTGGTCATGACCCCACACCCCAGGGAGGTTACCTGTGGTCATGACCCTACACCCCAGGAGGTTACTATGGTCATGACTCCACACCCCAGGGAGGTTACCTGTGGTCATGCCCCACACCCCAGGAGGTTACCTGTGGTCATGACCCCACACCCCAGGGAAGTTACCTGTGGTCATGACCCCACACCCCAGGAGGTTACCTGTGGTCATGACCCCACACCCCAGGGAGGTTACCTGTGGTCATGACCCTACACTCCGGGCAGTTACCTGTGGTAATGACCTCACACCCCAGGAGGTTACTAGTGGTCATGACCCCACACTCTAGGCAGTTATCTGTGGTTGTTTCCCCACACCCCCCAGGTAGTTACCTGTGGTCACGACCCAATACCCCAGGCAGTTACCAGTGGTCATGACCCCACACGCAGGGGAGGTTACCTGTGGTCATGACCCCACACTGTGGTCGTGACCCCACACCCCAGGTGGTTACCAGTGGTCATGACCCCGCACTGTGGTCGTGACCCCACACCCCAGGTGGTTACCACACCCCGGGCAGTTACCTGTTGTCATGACGACCCCGGCCAGCACCTTCCTGCGGGCGTGAGGGGAGGAGAAGCTGTCGGTCAGGTCTCCAAACTTACCCAGGACCAGGCGGGAGACGGCGTCTGCCAGCACCTGGGAGGGGGCACAGATATAGGTCAGGCAGAGCATGGGCAATGGCAAACATGGGATCAGGTGCCAAGGGTCCAGCCCGGTTCTGGCTGAGTCAGCAGCAGGCCGACGGGAGCAACCCATGGGGATCTACCCTCCCAAGCTGTGACCCTACGCCCTGAGCTGCCTTCTGCCATAACCACACACGGCATACCTGTTGGGAGCATGTGCCAAGGAGTGATGTGAACAGTCCCAGGCAGGAGAGGGGACAGCCAGAAAATGTGCTCCAAGCACCATGGAGCCTGGCACGGCTCCCTGCTGTTGGCACCACACTTGAGTTTCAGCGTTGGCGTGTGCTGGGCCCAGCCCGCTCACAGCCCTGCCAGCCTGGAGCCCATGGGAAGACACAGTTTCTGGGGGTGTGCTGTGGCATCCTGGGCCAATGCCCACATGGTTCCCAGGAGGGTGCCATGGCATCCTGGGCCAATGCCCACATGGTTCCCAGTAGGAGGCTGTGGCGTCCTACACTAGTGCCCACATGGTTCCCAGGAGGGTGCTGTGGTGCCCTACACCAGGGCCCATGTGGCTCCTGGGGATGTGCCATGGTGCCCCACACCAGTGCCCACGCAGCTCCCAGGGATGTGCCGTGGCGTCCCACACCAGTGCCCACATGGTTTTCGGGGGTGTGCCATAGTGTCCTAGGCCAGGTCCCCTGTGGGTACATTCCCTGTCGCATCCAGACAGCTCAGACCATGCCTGGCAGAGCAGGTGACACCTGGGCTGAGGTTTACCAAGGACCCAGGACACAATGACTCACAGTGCTCTGGGAACTGCTGGGGGTGCAATGGACCAAGTTTGACTCCCCGCCCCTCCCTCCCCCGCCAACCTGTGTGCTCTAGCAGCCACCAGGTAAACCTCAGGTGCTCAGCAGAGAAGCCAGTGCCCTGAAGGCAGCTATTCGAGCGGAAGTCAGTGGTCAGATGTTTCCTGTGGCCGTTGCCCGGCCAGCACCAGGGTGTTCCAGGGGCAAAGATGAGATGCGTGGATGACAGCCCCATTCCTGCACAGGGCCTCAGAGAGGCCGGCAGAACCGCGGTGCACAACCACCCGTGGCCCCATGGGTCAGGATGCTTTTGAACACCTGGAGGGAAAGATAACACCAGGCTCCAGAAGGCCAGGAGCAAGGTGAGTGTCCATCCCAGGGAGGCCTGGCCCGGGGCGAGTGCCACCTGCCTGGGCAGACCCGCAGGGGCGCACAGCCCTTCCCAGGGCGCCTGGCTGGCTGTGCAGGTATTCATAAACAGTCGCGGAGTGACTGTGATGCCTGTGGGACGCTATGAGGCAACAAGCCCACAGCCCGCGTGCGGTACCTGGCAGGGCCCTGGACAAGCGCCTTGCACACTCACAGCCCATCAAGGGCCAGCCCAGTCCAGCATCACACAGCAGGACTGCGCCAGGAGTGACAAGTGGTGACACCCTGGAGCTTCCCGGGCACTCGGGCACAGCCTGTGGGGGCACACAGCACCACCTACCACTCTCCTGCCCTGGACCACATGGGCTCAGGGACCCGGATGTGGGCAGGAGGAAGAGGGTAGCCACACAGCCTGCCCAGCCCAGGCCACTGCACATGACAGGTGTCTCAGTGCCCTGTGCCAACCCTGCCTACGTCTGTGTGTGAGAATGTGGGACCCAGGGCTGCGGACAGGAACCATCAATGGGCTTCATGTCTCGGGAGTGAGGCGAGCGGGGACACAGACTCCAGGGTGCCTGCTGACCGTGGGAGCCAAGCCCCCACCAGGAGCCTTCCTGTCTCTACCCTGTCCCGGTGGCTGGAGCAGTGCCCTCCCGACACTCACGCCTGCCTGGATCCAGGCTTCCCGCTGAGGACAACCCGGGCACGGCCCCGAGCCCCCACAAGGGCCTGCTGTAGGTGGAAAGGCCAGCCCTGCCTGGCCACCTAGGACCGTCACTCTGCGCAGGAGGGACCAGGCGCTTGGGGCGGCCAGGCCCCGGAGGCGAGCGGCGCTCACCTGAGGCAGGTGCAGCTGCAGCCCTTCGCTGGGGATGGGCTGGCGAGATGGCGTCTGGTCCAGGTGCAGATTGAAGACAGTGGCCAGGGCCGACTGCGCGGCCCGGGCCTTGGCCAGCTTCTTGTTCCTGCCCGAGCCCTCGAAGAACTGGCCGTCCACCACCACGGACATGACGAAGCTCTTGGCGTGGCTCTCCCCGCTCTCCGACAGGAAGTCGTACTTGAGGCCCGGGCGCAGCTCGTTGAGGATCATCACGGGGCTCTTGCCGCTGGGCGGCGGGAAGGGCGGCAGGACGGGCAGCGGGGGCTGGGCCAGGCTGGCGGGCACGGGGGAGGCGGACAGGCTGAGGTCCCCGCTGGAGCTGAACGAGTCATCCCCGTTGGAGCCCACGTAGAAGGGCGGCTCCATCTGGTCGGCCGTCTCGAAGCCGTTGAAGAGCGTGTCGGGGAAGTCGGCCTGGTCGGACGTGAAGTCCGTGTTCACGGACAGGGTCCGGCCCATGGCCAGGTGGGCCTCGGAGGCGTTGGGGAACTGGACAAAGGACCGCAGGGCCTTCTCGGCCGCGTGCAGCTTGGCCTTCTTCTTGGTGGGGCCCGAGCCCTCGAACACCTGCCCGTTGACCTCCACAGACATGACGAAGAGCGGCGCGTGCACGGGCCCCGTCTGCGAGAGCAGCGTGTACTGCAGGCCCGGCTTGACCTCGTTCAGCTGCATCAGCGCGTTCTTGGGCAGCACGGGCCCCGGCATTCTCCTCCGCTTCTTGAGGCGGTACTTGGCGTGGCCGTTGCTGCCCTCCTCCAGGGGCCGCTTCCTGCCGGCGCCCCCGTTGGAGAGCTGGGTCCCCTCGCTGGGCCCAGGTGCACCACCATCCTTGGAGGACACGTTGTCCAGGTTGCGGTTTTCCTTAATGTCCGCACTGCTGGAACCTGTGGTGCCCAGAAAGAGTAGCTTACAACGCCTTCGGTGCAGGATCTTGTAAATGCAAAATTTATAAGTTCCGTCATCTGCCTTTGTCCCTGGGCAAGTGGTGTGTGCTTAGGCCTCTGTCGGGCCCGCCTGGGCCAGACGGCTGCAGCCACCGGGGCCCGGCCCGCTGAGGCTGCTGCACCCGGGCGAGCCCTGCTCTGTCACTCCTGCAGCCGCCCTTGCCCCTCTCCTTGTTCTTTCTAGTGAGAATGCTCTGGGGCATCCAGGGATGCCTTAGACAGTGTCCAGACACTGGGGGAGGAGCCAGGGCCCCAGAGGCCTTGTCGGCCAGTCGGCAGAAGCGGCCGCAGTGCCGCCGGCAGTCTACGCCTCTCGCCCTGACCCTTCCTACTGGTGCCAGGCCATCTCAGAGGCAGCGCCCTTAAACATGCACCCCCAGTCATTCAATCGACAGACTGCACTCACAGATCTTAGGAAAGTGCTGGACTTTTTAAAAGTAATTTTTGGAGCCTATGATTTTATGGTATCAATTTAAACTTCTTCCATGGGGTCTGAATGCTCTCTGACCCGCCAGACTCATCTAGCGGTGCAGCGAAAGGAAGGGCCGCTGGGGCGCGGGGCTGCACGCGGCCAGGGCCTCGCGCTTCGCATACACCTGCCGACCTCCTCGGTGGATACAGACTGCTTTTTTCTTTTGGGATATTTGGTAGATTTTCACAGAGTTGATTTTCCTATTTTTAAGGCATTTTGTATTTAAAATGAACAAAGGGGTACAATCTGAAAGTGTTCAAAGTGTACAAAAACAAGGCTGATTCTTAAAAATGGGAATAAGAGCGAGCGTACACCCCCTCAGTCCACAGACACGCCTCTGCGAGGGAACGTGGCATCGGGCACGGGAGCCTGGCACGGCCTCACTGCCTGCAGGTGCCGGCCTCCTAGCACTAGCTTTCAAAACTGCACGTCTCCTAAAAGAACAGCTGGAAATCACAGCGCTTTCTAAAAACTAAAGCAGCTCACAGGATGGTGGCCTAGTACCTCCAGTGAACTCTGCAGGCCAGGCAACACCTAAGACACCATGGTGTGCTCCTGGGCTCAGCCCGTGGGAGGCCACAGGCTCCTGGGCTCCTGGGCTCCAGGCTCCTGGGCTCAGCCCGTGGGAGGCTGCCAGCTCTGGGCTCTGGGGTCTGGGCTCCTGGGCTCAGCCCATGGGAGGCTGCCAGCTCAGATGGCCTTAGCAAGCAGTGCCCCCTGAAGCGGAGCTTCACCAATTCCCAGGATCTCATACCGGTCAGTGTGGGCAGCTCCATGGGGACCGGGAGGTGACCCATGGTGGAGGAGGGCCCTGGGGCTTGTCCCTGCAGACAGCCGCTCTTACAGTCCTGAAGCACACACCACTTCTCCCAGGCGGCAAAGCCGATGGACTGGACAGTAAATTTTCATTTATAACATCCTCCAGCAAAAGCTCAATAGGTTACTCCTTTCGGTGCTCAAAGGAAACAAAAGGTTAGAGAGAGCGGGATGGGAAAGGGGGTCGGGAGAAAGAGCGAGGCGGTGAGGGGGGGAGGGAAGGGGCACCCGCACCTGTGCGGGTGAGGACACGACACCCTGGGCTGCCACCTGCAGGCTGGCTCGTGGCCACACGGCAGGGCACACCAGTACACACGCACGCCACACACACGTGCCACGTATCCATGACCACGCTCTTCAGAAACACAGGGTGCCAGCGCCATGTTGACAATTCTGCGAACCTGAGAAAAACACATATGGAGTCACACTGTTCCTGCAAAGCACAATTCCTCTGTGAGCAGGGAGCTGCGGTCCTGCTCGCACTCTGCTGGCAAGGCCTCTGCGGGAAGGAAGACCAGATAACAGCTGCAGGTGAGCGTCATGAGCCTGTTGGCGGGCGCTGCCTCCACGGGGCCGATGCGCTGCAAGAATGTCAACATTTGGGGCTAAACTGGGCACTCCAACACTGTGGCACTAGAACTGGCAGCTCATCTTTCCAGAAAAATCCATGCACAAGGTCCCCAGGGTCTGCACACGTGGCCCAGGGGACACGCACGGCCTCCTTCCAGGGCGTCCCCGCAGATGCCAAGTGTGACAATCATCTAAAACGGGAGCTCACCTAGCAGAGGGCTCAGCCCGTGAGAGGCCACAGGCTCTGCACATAGCAGAGTCCACACGCTGGACACAGCAGAGTCACCAGGGGAAGCACGGGGCTGGGCTCTGGGAGCGGGCCTGGGGGGAGGCCAGCAGCCCCAGCAGAGGAACACGCTGGCCGCACGGGCCCTGCTGGCCCAGTCACACCCACAGCTCAGCGCCCATGAACCTGACGGCCCAGGCAGACACCGTCCAGGGGAGAGCCAGTTCTAGCGCCAGCTGTCGCTGCAGGGAGATGTGCTCCTGCTTGGGCACCCCGTGTCCTGCCCTGAGAGCAGCGGACACCCACCAGTGACCGGAAGGCGGATACTCGTCCTCACCCCCTCTGCGCCCCAGCAGCTTTGGAGGGAGACCCTCACTGAGACACACTGCTGCATGGGACAAGAGTTCACCCAACTTCCAAGAGAGTGTGAGTGGAGTGGAGAGAGGGGCTCGTGGAGCCGCAGGTGCAGCTGCGCCCCTCTCGGAGGCCAGGCCGTGGCAGCTCCCTTTGAGGTGAGCCCTGCCACGCACAGGCACAAGGCCCCGGCCAGCCATGCCTCCCCAGAGATGCACACCCAGGCGACACCAAGGAGTACTGGGACCTGGACAGCTGAAGGGCAGTGTCCAGGTGGCACTGGCGCCTGCTGCAGAAAAGTGTGAGTTAGGCTGTGTTCAGTGCCCAAGTCGGAGGGGACAGCAGCTGCCCACAGTGACGGGCAGACTGGAATGGCAGTGGGCACGGGCATGACACCGAGGGATCTGGGCTCTTACTCATGCTCTCCTCGTCTTCTGCATCCATGGCACACGGCGAGGGCTCTTGACAGCCGGAGACCGGTTCCGTCTGGAAGACAGCAAGGAAGCAGTGCTGAGTGTGCCCTCCGGGTGCCCCGCGCCATGCCTGCCAGCGAGAGCAGGAGTGAGGTCTGTCGCCTGGTGAGCAAGGCCGTGGGGCTGCATAGCCCGAGGTGTGCCCGTCACCAGGAGCTGGAGTCAGGGACACAGCAATGCCGGCCATGACACTGGCCGGCCAGGAAGGACCGATTCCCCAGCACTCGGTCTCACACACACGGCTGGCCTGCATGCTCAGGTATCCTGCTCGGCTGGCCAGAGGCACCGAGAGCAGAGCGCAACCCGGCTACCTGGCTCCCAGGCTGGCCACACTGCTGTCCAGCTGCTGTTGCCCACCCGACAAGGTCTGCCTCCCGGCACGGAGCACGTCACAGGGTCCCAGAGGGACAGGCGGCCACTTCTGATGACCAGATCGCTTCTACACATTCTGTGTCACCGACAGGCAGATCACTGCTTTGGCAAACGGCGACTGCAGGCGTGAAGCGCAGCGCACACCTGGCGCGTGGCTCTCAGGACAACCACTGGTCCTGTTGCTGAAAGCTACACGGGAGTCTACGTACAGTCCTTGGCTCCAGAAAGCCCTGCAGACAGCGGGCAAGCACACGACTCCGCTGTCCCAGTGCGACACGCTGGTTCCCCGAGGATCACCTTGCAGCCCGCCGCGGGCCGGGAGCCTCGGGCGGGCCTCACACGGGCGCATGGCTGCCCGGCAAGCCACAGGCATGGGTGCTGCTTGCCCCACACAGGACTACTTACCGATGACAAGTCAGCATCCCGAGTGACTGCACAGCCACGCCACACAGCGCGGGGCAGACAGAGCTGATGGGGACCCCCGGCGGGCAGCTGGAGGTGACACAGATGGACACTCAAGGCTCATGCCATGCTCCTGTCCCCAGAGTGAGGTGCAGGCACAAGACAGGAGACGGCCCCTGCCCGGAGAGGAGACACCCCAGCTAGGAGCAGGCGCTCTCAGGGCCCCGCAGGTCAGCAGACAGGAAGACGCTGCAGCTGGTCCCAAGGCACTGTGGAGATGAGATCTGTGCCCAGGACCCCCACACATCACACACAGAACACACACGAGGCCACACTAAGGTGGCGAGAGGAAGGCGTAGGCATGTCAGGCCAGGACGGTGCTGGGCCAGCAGGCGTGTGCCCACTGTGGCCATCCCGACTCAAGAGAGGCCGCTCTTGGCTGATGTCACTGTCACCCTACAGTCCTGAAGGCCCGTGGCCACGACTGCTGGCCACGCCCACCCTGTGCTCCTCCCGAGAGCGGACAACGGCCCACGGATGTGGAAGCTCGTATGGGGGCAGGCGCCCGACTGCAGCCCATCCAGCCCCAGCTGCCACGGAGGGAACCAATGGGTGAAAGCTCTTTGTCTCTGCTCCGTCACCTTTCAAATCCTTAGACCTGAATACTTCAATGATGCTCTCCTGCTTTGGCCTCGAGTCTCTGCTAAGGGCCAAACAGGCAGGCCGATGCCACCTGCCAGCCTTGGGGAGGCTGGCGCACCCTGGAACCCGGGGGCACGGCGGGGGAGCTGGCATCTCACCTGCTGGGAGCTCAGAACTACCACATTGCACCCCAGCGGGCGACACACACACAGCCACGGCTTCTAGTCCACAGCTCTGTGCAGCTGCACTCAGACCCCACTGGGGTGGCATGTGGAAATGGGAGCACAGGGGGCAGAGGAGCCCCCGCCCTGGGGGAGCCACAGCAGGGTCTGCACCCTGTGGGGTGGAGCCGGGGTGCTGCCACGGGGTCACGAAGCCGACCAGGCCTTGCTGAAACCATCTCTGGGCAGGTGACAAGGGACCCTGGAGGAAACAGGGCACTCCTTGCCCCCACACCAGGCCCTGCCCCACCTCCCTGGCGCCATCTGCTGGCTGTGCAGACTCCCACCATCACTCAGATGCCCCAGACTGGGGCCCTCACCCCTTGGGGTCAGGTGCACACCCTTCCCACTGACCAGAGCGAGCCCTCATCCCTCCACGGCCCAAGGCCGCTCTACAGACCCTTGAGCTGGAAGACAAGAGCCAGCCAGCAGCCACGGGGTCAGCAGCCACCTGGGCCTGGCCACTCTGGGGGTCAAGTTCCTCCTGCACTTCGTCCTACACAGGAAGCCAGGCCAGGAAGGAGTGTGAGGAACAGTCTGTCCACATGAGGGCGCCGCTGCACGCCTGGCAGCTCCAGGTCCACCCAGGGAGCGAGGCTGTGGGGCCGCTGCCCCAGCGGACTGCCCTCGGCACATACTGACACCACCAGGCTGGGGGATCCCCAACACACTTGGACAGCAATGTTTTAGGGGGCTGCAGCTCATCCCACACTCAGGTAGACATGAAACCACCCCAAATGCAGACTGTGAACTCCACCATTCTAGAACTTTTCAGACATGATGCCAAGTCCCACTCAGATTGCCTTTAACTCCGTGAAACAGGAAACAGCCCCAAATCAATCACTCCTGGCCCAGCTCCAGCATGACGCGGGCTGCCTCCCGCCGGGGTCACACTGACCCCAGGTGCAGGCCAGCCAGCAGGACCCTGGGGTGCACCACCTTCTCCAAGGTGTGTAGGCAACACCCCACAGCACACGATGCCCGAGTGACTCCCCAGGGTTAGTCAAAGGCAGCCGGCCCCTGTGACCGCGGGAGGCCGCAGCAGACATGGCTCATGTCCCAGATGAGAGAGAAACTTCACACGGACGCAGCCGAGTCCTGTGCCCCACGAACCTGGGCTGGGACCCGCACACCGGCTGTGAGACGAGGTGTGACCACACCAGGGCGCCTCTCGCCGGCCGCGACTGTTAGGACTCCGGCCCCCCTCTCTGGCTGTGGCTGTTAGGGCCCCGGCCCCCCTCTCTGGCTGTGATTGTTAGGGCCCCGGCCCCCCTCTCTGGCTGTGGCTGTTAGCACCCCGGTCCCCCTCTCTGGCTGTGGCTGTTAGGGCCCCGGCCCCCCTCTCTAGCTGTGGCTGTTAGGACCCCGGCCCCCCTCTCTGGCTGTGGCTGTTAGGGCCCCGGCCCCCCTCTCTGGCTGTGGCTGTTAGGACCCCGGCCCCCCTCTCTGGCCGTGACTGTTAGGGCCCTGGCCCCTCTCACCTGCCGCGACTGTTAGGGCCCCGGCCCCCCTCTCTGGCTATGACTGTGTTAGGGCCCCGGCCCCCCTCTCTGGCTGTGACTGTTAGGACCCCGGCCCCCCTCTCTGGCTGTGATTGTTAGGGCCCCGGCCCCCCTCTCTGGCTGTGGCTGTTAGGACCCCGGCCCCCCTCTCTGGCTGTGATTGTTAGGGCCCCGGCCCCCCTCTCTGGCTGTGACTGTTAGGACCCCGGCCCCCCTCTCTGGCTGTGATTGTTAGGGCCCCGGCCCCCCTCTCTGGCTGTGGCTGTTAGGACCCCGGCCCCCCTCTCTGGCTGTGATTGTTAGGGCCCTGGCCCCCCTCTCTGGCCGTGACTGTTAGGGCCCTGGCCCCTCTCACCTGCCGCGACTGTTAGGGCCCCGGCCCCCCTCTCTGGCTGTGACTGTTAGGGCCCCGGCCCCCCTCTCTGGCTGTGGCTGTTAGGACCCCGGCCCCCCTCTCTGGCTGTGATTGTTAGGGCCCCGGCCCCCCTCTCTGGCTGTGGCTGTTAGGACCCCGGCCCCCCTCTCTGGCCGTGACTGTTAGGGCCCCGGCCCCCCTCTCTGGCCGTGACTGTTAGGACCCCGGTCCCCCTCTCTGGCTGTGACTGTTAGGACCCCGGCCCCCCTCTCTGGCTGTGATTGTTAGGGCCCTGGCCCCCCTCTCTGGCTGTGATTGTTAGGGCCCTGGCCCCCCTCTCTGGCTGTGACTGTGTTAGGGCCCCGGCCCCCCTCTCTGGCCGTGACTATTAGGGCCCCGGCCCCCCTCTCTGGCTGTGATTGTTAGGGCCCCGGCCCCCCTCTCTGGCTGTGACTGTGTTAGGGCCCCGGCCCCCCTCTCTGGCCGTGACTATTAGGGCCCCGGCCCCCCTCTCTGGCTGTGACTGTGTTAGGGCCCCGGCCCCCCTCTCTGGCCGTGACTATTAGGGCCCCGGCCCCTCTCTCACTGGCTGTGACCGCATCGAGGCCCCATCTCCCTGTCCCCCAGTGTCCACCTCAGAAGACGCCCTGGCGTGGAGTGACCCATGTCATCTAGGTTCAGAGGCCCTGGTGTGTCAGGACGAGGGGCAGGAGTGGCGCAGGGTGACTGCCTGAAGTGAGAGCCGTGCTCCACTCTCAGGGGCCCCGCGGGAGCCACTGCCGAGTGGGGACAAGCAGGGGCCTCCAAGGGGGTGTGTTTTCCTCACAACTTCTGCACTTACTCGTGCTGCATTCCACAGCAGCCAGAAACGCAGACAACACATCAAGCCCTTGACCGCCAACAGCAGTCCTCACTGAACCCGAGGCTCGGCACGGCCACTCACGGGGAGACGGTGCACGCCTGGCTTACACCCCGAGCTTCCTCAGCACCCCGACAGCTCCCGCCTTCCGCCCAACCTTTGTTCTGTGCCTTTAAGAACAGGCTATTTGTGCAAAGGATTATAAATAATTCATTCCTCCAGTGCGTGCTTACAGTATATAAAAATACTTGCCTTTCACTACATGGCATAATTACTGCTTCAGTGCTACGGCACGTTAAAAATAGGCAGCCATAAATTACACCTAACTTAGCAACAAGGGACTGGAGTCTCTCGGGCTCCCGCAGGCTGGCATGAACATTGTCTTCCAAGAAACCCAGGTTACAGAGTGCCAACGTCATGTCACTGCCGAACTTAGAGACGGCTGCGGTGGAAATGCAAGGTACATCATGGGGTACAACTGTCGGGACACTAACCTTGACCTCAGGACACAGGCATGGAGAGGAACCCTGACCTCAGGACACAGCCATGAAGAATAATCTAGGCCATAGGACACCCCATAGAGTGTAGCCTTGCCCTTGCTTTGCCCACTCTGCCAATGAACCAGGAGAAGGGCATAAGCTGAAGAGAAAACAAAACCTCTTCCAGTCTCTCTGGAACCATGGCCTTCCATCCCTGACATCAGAGCAACAAATGGAAAGCCCAGTGGTCAGACATTGCGTGTCTCCACGCCGTAACACAGTGACCCCAGCCGCTCTCCTGCTCGCTCTCATCTGTGACGCCTGCGGCCCCGACGGCTCCACGCAGCACCCAGGGACTTTAAGTGGACAGAGCAGAACCACTGGTGTCCAGCACCTTGCAGCCACCTTGCCTGGACCCAGGAAGCAAGCTTCACCATGAGCGTTCCCATGGGAACCTCCCACAGCACACCGAGCTCTGTGGGGCATTGGCATCTGGCCTGGCGTGAGCATGGGGCACGGCGTTACCTGTGCCACTCGTGACGCCCACCTCCCACAGCACACCGAGCTCTGTGGGGCGTTGGCACGTGTCCTGGCGTGAGCGTAGGGCACAGCGTTACTTGTGCCACTCGTGACGGCCACCTCCCACAGCACACCGAGCTCTTTGGGGCATTGGCATCTGGCCTGGCGTGAGCGTGGGGCACGGCGTTGCCCGTGCCACTCGTGACGCCCACCTCCTGCATCTGGCCTGCCGGCGTCCGGCTGCACTCCCAATGCCAGCTGCCTACAGACGTCCCCTGTGTGGCTCCTGGCTTTGCCCTGGTCTAGCTCCAGCAGCTGTGGGCACGAGTGGACTGAAGCAGATGGGGGTCTGCCTCTCCCCCTTCACGTAAGTGGATAAACGCTTAACAAACATGTGTTTGCTTCAGCTCTCCTCTGAGTCCCGACACACCAGCAGCCCCACGTGCTGGCAGCCTTGTTCTCATCACCCAGAAGATGGCAACAGCTGCCGCTAAAGGCTTCAGGCAGGCCTGGCCTGGCACCAGCCACATGCTCCTGGAACCCAGATGGCTCTGCACCCGAGAGCACCGGCACCAGGCCACCCATCAGACGCCCCGTGAGGTGAGCAGAGGCTGCGTCCTTGTGAAGCTTCGGGCCATGCACGTCTGCACTCACCTGGCAGTTCTGGTCCCCAGCAAAGCTTCCTTCAGCACGAGCGGGCCGGGCTGAGATCCCAGCAGGACCAGGTCGAACCAGGCAGGCGCCCAGGCGCGGCTTCTCCAAGCCCGGGAGGATCCCCACTCCACAGACGGCGCTCTGGGTAAGGAAAGGCCCAGTTACTCTGCGAAGAGTCTCTCCATTGTGTCAGAGGTGAACCCTAATGATAAACACTTCCCACTATAAACACCCTTCCAGGGGATGCACTGTGGCACAGGACAGTAAGCCCAACCCCACGTGAGCGCGGGTTCAAATCCTGGCTGCTGCCCTTCAGATCCGGCTCCCTGCAGCTGCACCTGGGACCGCAGCGGAGGATGGCCCAAGGGCTCGGGCCCTGAACTCATGTGGGAGACCCGGGTGACACCCCTGGCACCTGGCTTCAGGCTGGCCCAGTTCCAGCTGTTGTAACAATTTGGAGAGTAAACCAGCAAATGGAAGATCTCTCTTTGTAGCTCTGTTGTTCAAATAAACAAATAAATAAATAAATCTTTTTAAAAAGCATCTTGCTGAATGCAAGTCTAAGTAATTTTAAGTAATTTTTACATGCACTGGGTGACAGCCACATGCAGTTCTCCTCCACCAGCACCAGGGGGCCACACACTAAGCAGAGCCACAGGCTGACCCGCTCCTGCTCTGCCAAGGCCCTGCCCGCTCCACCTCCACCCGCCCGGGCCCTGCCCCTGCCCCTGCTCCACCAAGGCCCTGCCCGCTCCACCTCCACCCGCCCGGGCCCTGCTTCAACTGGAAAACCACATATGCCAACCTCTGCCATCACACACTTCAAACGGTTCATGGAAATGGAATTAGAAGACATCTTGATTTTGGTGGAAAACACTTGGAATCTGCGAGAAAGGTTTCCCAAACTTTCTGTGGCAAAACAAATCTCCCTTCACTTGCACCTCCCGTGGACTTGGCGCAGCACCCTGGTATGCTGGAACATTCCTCCAGAGAAGCAAACGGACGCCCAGACGGAGGGCAGGCCTGGGGAAAAGGGGGGCTCCCCCTACAGAATCACGGAACTGTGGATGAGGCCACGCAGCCACGAGGCTCCAAGCCACACTAGTGACCGAAGCAGGGCCTCCAAGCCCAGAGCATGCTGGGCACGTGCCTGGTCTGGGGCCTGTGTGGGCATCTGCTGGACAGGCCATGGCTGGGGCTGGCACTGGCTCATTCTATCCTGGCACGGCAGGCCCAAAGGCCACACCACCCGTGGTCATCTGTCCAGCATGGTACCCTTCCAAGGGAATTGCCTCATTGCCACACGCGACCTTGGTCTCCCACTGCCAATGCTGCCCCCCATCAGTGCCCCCACCCCGTCAGCAGTGCAGCTCTGAGACTACCTGTGGGCCAAGGTGAGGTCCACCTAATGAGGTGACCCTCAGCCGCCACAGGATCTGGCTGGCCCCTACTGCAGTTCCAGTGGCCACCAGGAAACACCAGAATGCTCTAGAAGCCGGAAACACTGAGAGCTCCACCTGCCCAAGGGAGGGAGCCCAGCTGGAGAGAATGGCCCCGGTGCCCACGGTGACAGAAGCTGGGGGTCCCCACCTTGAGGTGGCACCCTTGGGGTGAGGGAGTGCACACAAAGACAGGTGTTTGCTAACAAGAATCTTGGGGCACATGGAGTGGCAGACGGAGATGCAAGAAGCCTTGCTCACGTAGGGAGTGAGCAGAGCAGGTGCGGGAACAGGCCAGGCGGCGCGGCCAGGCGGGCTGAGTGGTAGGGCTGACAGCATGAGGCCGGCCCGAGGGTGCACGTGCATCTCTGAGCCGGGCACGTGAGCTGCAGCAGCCCTGGGCACACAGCACAGCTCGGCGCACCGGGGCTGGCCGGCATGACGTGCCGGACACAGAGATTAGTAACCTGAGCAGGACATGGCTAACCAACGTGCTGCTAAAGAAGCCACATGACCGGGCACTTGGCCTCTTGGCTAAGATGTTGGCTATGTAGCCCTGCCCCATGGCAGCAGCCCTTGCCCGGCTTCTGGCTCACACAGACCCCGGGGGCAAAGGAGCAGTGCCACCAGGGAGTGACCGGCTCCCAGCTTCAGCTCGGCTCGTCCTGGACCGTCACGGGCATTGAGGGGTGCTGTGTGTATGTCTGTGCGTGTGTCTTTAGCTCTCAATGTAAACAAGTTTAAATGACACACTGAAAAAACTTCATGGTAGAAAACAGGAAACGTTCAGGGCTTAAGGCCAAAAGCAGCTCAGCTTCAACCTGGGTGGGATGTGAAAGTGGCCAGAGGGAGATGGATGGCCCTGACGCTGAGCCTGCGTGATGACACGGACATGCATGTCCAGGACAAGACAGCCTCATAGCAAGAAGGAAGGCAGAGCATGAGCGAGACCAGTGTGAGATTGCTCTGCAGGGCAGGCACCGGGCACGGGCCACATGGCACCGGGTGCAGGCCGCGTGCTAGCAGCAGTGGGGACACAGAGGGAGGTTGAGGCCAGGCTGGGCTCGGGGTGGGCAGGACCGTTGTTCCTGCTCACCGGACAGGCCACTGTGACCGCGTCAGTCCCCCAGCTGTGCACTACACTGGTCTCTATGACATGGCGCCTGTGCCCGAAGGGGCTGGCGCACCACCCTGCCTCTCCCTCGGACTACGCCCTCTGGGGAAAGCACCCACCCACCAGGCCTGAGCAGGTGCCAGCCATGCCCCCACCGGCTGGCAGGAGACTTCGCAGACAGGCCCCAGGAAAGAGAGGACTCCCTAGCCGGGACGCGTGGAGCTCAGCTGAGCTGCTGGAAGCACTGAGCACAGGCCCAAGCCTGCCAGCCTCCAGGGTGGCAGAGTGGGTGTGGCTGTGGCCAGTAAATTTCCAGAAGGTTCTCCAGGTTGAATCCTCCCTGTGAAGAGACACCACTGGGACACCAATGGGAGACACCGCAAACCTCATTCCAAAGCATTTCCAACCTGATGCAAAAAAAAATTTAAAAATTCAACCAACCAAAGTGAGTCAACCTGAGGAAGCCCCAGACATGACAGAACGGGAAGAAGAAAGCAGAAACCAGTCCCTGGGGGGCACGGCACGCCGGAGCGCCCCGGGAAGCTCTGCCCGGCACCCAAGGAGACGCAGTGCCAGCGCACAGGCTGGCCTCTCTCATGCTCGCTCAGCCTCTGCGCACGCGCGCACACACACACACACACACACAGAGCAAACACCGCACAGTAAAACAAGCACACACACACAGACCCCACAAGGACGCGTGCCCCCAGGGCACACCACCACGGGGACCTGCCAACGCCCACGGCGGGTGAGCCCAGAGCCAGGGACCCAAGATCGCAGCCAGCACGAGGCCTCCACAGATGCTGAGTCTGCAGCAGAGCACACGGAGTGGGGAGGGAAGCAAGCCCAGGGGCCACGGTCTGAGATCCTCAGGGGCATGAGCGGGGCTGGGGCCAAGGTTGTCTGTGCGCCCAAGCCACTCTCACAGGGGAGAATGACAGCTCCGCGTTGACCTAGCCTGCCTGGCACCCGAGGCTCAGCTGCGATCCACTGCCACGACGTCCTGGAGCTGACAGCGATGCCAGCTGCTCTCAAGGCATTCTCTTCTGAAAACAGCATCTATGCACCAGGGAGCCAGGGCGCTCCCGCTTGGGGTAGACGTGGGTGCCACGCGGGACGGAGGCCAGGGCGCTCCCGCTCGGGGTCAGGCAAGGGTGCCACGCGGGGCAGAGGCCAGGGCGCTCCCGCTCGGGGTAGACACGGGTGCCACACGGGCAGAGGCCAGGGCGCTCCCACTCGGGGTAGACGTGGGTGCCACGCGGGCAGAGGCCAGGGGCACTCCCGCTCGGGGTAGACACGGGTGCCACACGGGCAGAGGCCAGGGCGCTCCCACTCGGGGTAGACGCGGGTGCCACACGGGCAGAGGCCAGGGGCCACTCCACTCTGCACGCCTGCTCCAGGAAGCAGCATGGCACGAGCTGTGCTGCACGGCTTTCCGGGCCAGTAATAGTAACCACATTGATTGAACGAGGCAACTGTGTCTCCTTTCACAACGATATTTATCACAGTGATTTAATTAGACGTGGGAAGCAGGGCTCGGCTCTGCCAAGGCCCGGGCACGCTCACTCCCTACCTTGTAGGGGAATGAGAGCGGTGCACCCTGAGCACAGGCAGCTCCTGGGCAGACAGGAACACAGGCCTGCACACCAGAGATGCCGACAGGAGCCTGCGGCTGCAAGGCAGAGCTCCAGGGCCCCCGCTGCCTGGCCGCGGGTCTAGGAACCAGAGCCCCCAAGTACGTGCAGGAGCTGGGCACAGGGAGGGATGCAGCGGGGTCCCAGCCCCTGCACCCAGAGGGGCCGCTACGGCAGAGACAGAACGGCCAGGTGGGATCTGTGTGCCAGGGAGGGTACAGGCACTGGGAGGAAGCCTATGTGAACAGACGAGGCTGCAAGGCAGCATTCCGCGAGGGCAGCTGAGGGGCAGAGGGGCCCAAGGACCCCAGCCCGGTCATGAGGATGATGCCAGAAACGAGCCCGGGACTCCAGCCCCTCCCAAGAGCAGGTGGGATGTTCCTCGGGCAACGTGTAGAGACCCACAGCAGGGCGGGCACCAGCTTTGGCATGGCTGTTACCTGCTGCTGTCCGCTCCTAACACCCCCAACAGCTGAGGCCAGCCGGGGTGACCCTAGCAGCAGGTATTTGGATCAGGAGTCCCCTGGAGGGGGCAGGGACCAAAGAACTTGGGCCATCCACAGCTACTCCCACATTTGGTGTTGGCAACAAACTAGAACCAGAACCCACATGCTGCGTCGAGGTGGAGGGCCAGGCAGTGACGTGGCCAGCGCTCCACAGGCCCACCTTGGCGCCAGCACATTAGCTGTGCCAGTCACAGTCAGCCGACACCAGGGCCTCCAGCATGGCTGGTGTCGGCTGCCCCAGTGAATGCAGAGCCTCCCCCAGGACAGGCAGGGAGCAGCACCACAATAAAACGGACTCGGGGTCCCAAGCTCCATCCGGCGGCTGGAACGAGTTTCCTCCCACGGGAACGCCCGGCCGGGCTCAGGGACGT